AAAAAAAAAAAAAAAAGATTCTAGCAGGTTATAAAGAAATGGTTGAGCAGGTTGTAAAGAAGCCAGGACTGTTGTGACTTATTTTAAGATATATTAAATAGTTTTTTTTTATTTAATACATATTAGTTAAAAATATTTCAATGGTATTGGTTGTTCTGAGCAGCACATAATATGAAAATATGAATTATGAAACAGTTCTATTACTTTTATGATAGTTTTTTTTTTTAACTTTATTGGAGAACAGTGTGTTTTTCCCTGGACCCATCAGCTCCAAGTCAAGTTGTTGTCCTTCAGTCTTAGTTGTGGAGGGCGCAGCTCAGCTCCAAGTCCAGTTGCTGTTTTCAATCTAATTGCCGGGGGGCGCAGCCCACCATCCCATGCGTGACTCGAACCGGCAACCTTGTTGTTAAGAGCATGCACTCTAATCAACTGAGCCATCTGGCTGTCAGCAGCTAAGCTCAAGTCATTGTCTTCAATCTAGTTGTGGAGGACGCAGCTCACTGGCCCATGTGGGAATCGAACCCTCAACCCTGTTGCTTAGAGCAGACCCTCTAACCAACTGAGCCACTCGGCTGCCCTATGATAGTTTTTTTACTACAATAAAGAGCAGAGTAATACAACAGATTCTCGTTTACCCACAACCCAGAATTAACAAATTCCAGCTCTCTGTCATACTTGCTTCAGCTAATATTTAACTTTTCTCTTAAAAGAATTAAATATTTCTAATAAAAGTGAAGCTCTCTTTGTACTGTTTTCCCAGGCCCTTTCCTCAGAAGCAGCCACTGTCATGAATTTGGTGTGTATCCTATCATTCACAGTTTTATATTTATGCTTATATTAGATATATAAACATAAATTATTTTTTTCTGTATTTGCTTTCAAATTTACACATAATTGTCATATTTTATGAGTGTTCTACCTTTTGCTTTTTTCCTTAACACTATATTTATCAACACATTCTCATCCATTGATTCAGACACTTCAGCCAGATGGAGCACATAATAGCAGCTCACACCATAAAAGGGATGGGAACTCCTGGCTTAAACACCTTTTCAGTATGAACTACACAGGTTCACAGTATTCAACAGTATTTCTTTGCTTAACAGCTTGAAGTTAGTCAACATTATTCTGATTTTAAAAATAATTCTGTTTTAAAAAACAAAGCTACCACATTTCTGATTATCATATGCAAATTGATCTGTCTGCAACCAAAGCTTCCTGTTAATCCACAGCCATCGTCCAGACTTGTTGAAAAGAACTTGTGCGTATTATAGAAATTACGTTTCTAGAAAGAATATGGATTAAATCTTGTAGATTTTATATAAAATGATTAAAAACTTCCGGTGCCAAATATCTTTGTTCTTTTTTTTTATTGTCTCTTGTTTTGTTTTGTTGTTTTATTTTTAACAGCTTCATCACTGGTCCAGCTGTAGTCCCAGGATACTTCTCTGTTGATGTAAATAATGTGGTACTCATATTAAACGGAAGAGAAAAAGGAAAGGTCTTTTATGCCACCCAGTGGTTACTTTATGCACAAAATTTAGTACAAACTCAAAAACTCCAGCATCTTGCTGTTGTTTTGCTTGGAAATGAACATTGTAATAATGAATGGATAAACCAGTTCCTCAAAAGAAATGGAGGCTTTGTGGAGCTGCTTTTCATAATATATGACAGCCCCTGGATTAATGACATGGATATTTTTCAATGGCCTTTAGGAGTAGCAACGTAAGTACAAAATATGATACCTGTTTCTAGACTCTTAAGACCTGAATTTCAGAATCAGAAAGACTGTGTTTTAAATTTGCAATAAATGTAATTCTTTTGCAATCATTGAGACCAGGTGCAATCTTTTCCATGGGCAAAAAAATGGTGTGGCCTCATGCTTCAATAACAATAATGATGTTTTTAGAGTATTTTAGCCTTTTATGAGGAGGACAGGTATGTTATTTTTGTGTGTTTTAAAACTCTAAGGCATAGGATAAATTTTTATTAAAGAGATGTTTAGCAAAGGATAGCAGACACACCTTCTTAAAACAATTATCATAGAATCTCTTTAATTAACTGTTAAAAACAAAACAAAACTCTTTTTTAAAGGCAGTACTAAATCAGGAACACTTTGTACCCTTGGGCTTGGGAACATTATGCTCAGATCTGCCACTAAGACTGGTTGAATTTTCACAAATTTCTGTTAAAAAGAGGAATTAATTAATAACAAAGTTTCTCAATATGTCATATATAAAGTCTTTCTATAAAATGGAAAACTTATTTTTTATCTTTCTGTTAATAGGGTTTTTAATTAAGAGTAAGTTGGCTTTAAGATGAGTTGCCACTAGTACATAAGCTTCCTGATGACAGGGATTTTTGTCTCTTTTTGTTCACTACTTTATCTGCAGAGCCTAAAACAGCACCTGCACAGAGTAGGCACTCACTCAGTAAATAATTGTTGAATGGATAAATTTTGAAAAAGCTCACTAACATGGTGTTTGAATCAGATGTCATTATTTTATAACTGCTTACGAGGTGTGACCTTAGACTGCTGTCCAGTTGGCTACACAGGTATCACCAGAGAAGCACATCAGTAAAACACACTCCCTGGCCTACCACCAGTCTTCTGATTCAGTAGGTTTGGGGTAGGCCAGACAAGACGGTTTATATTAGGTAGAGCCAGGTTTAAGACCTCTGAAAAGTCCATCCCTGGAATAGAGTCTGTATTTGTAAAATGTTTTAAAACCAAAAAAATTACTATTCACAGTAATACTACACAACTTATTAATACAATATGAATGTCTGCAATTCTGGTATTGTTGGACTAGGCCAGTATCTCTGGTATAGATCAGTGGTTCTCAACCAGGGGCAGCTTTTCCTCTAGGAGACAGTCAGCAATGTCGAGATATTTGCGATTGTTTCCATCGGAGGGAGGAGAGGTGACACTGACATCTGGTAGAGGGAGGCCGGGGACGCTGCTCAGTAGACTGCCAATTTTCTGGCCCAAAGTGGCAGCGATGCTGAAGTTGAGAAAATCTATTACAAAGTAACTGTTATATAAAGGTTTGCTCTTATATGAAGGTTGTATTTCAGGCACAATATTTGATTTGTTATTCCCAAATACCCATAAGAGTGGTCCAGTTGCAACAGACCTCTCCTGTATGACATACAAGGTTTTGTGGTTTTTCTTAATCTACTGGAAAAGCCTTTGGAATTGGAGTTCTTTGCTATAGCAACATGTATTCTGTAACCTTTCCATCACCTGCCTAAAACACTGATTAAATCATGATAATTATGAATATAGAAAATTATTTATACTTTGAAGGTTTTGAATTCAACTTGCGTTACAACTACAGGTGTCTAACAGAAGTTGAAGAATATAAAAAGCAAAGTGCTTCAGGCACATAATCTCTACAGCAATTTTGTAAAAGATGTCAATGTGAGCATTTTTTTTTTTAAAAGTCAGTAGATTCAGGGACTTTTCCAAAGTGAGCATGGAACTTTACAGTTTGGGGTTTAGAAAGTCATATTTTTTTTTTTTAATTTTTTATTGTTAGTTTCAGGTGTACAGAACAATGCAATAGTTACCCTTTTCACCCTCACAAAGTAACAACCCCCCTCTTCCCCTCTATTGCCCTCCCCCCCGATATCATGCTTATCTATTACAATTCCATTGACTCCATTCCCACTCTCTATGCCATGTCCCGTGACTATATGTATATATAATTATAGTTGACATACACTATTATTCAACATCAGCTTCAGAAATACAGTGCGATGGTCAGGCCTCTACACCGACTATGAAGTGGTCTCCCTAACAAGACATGAGTCCATCTGGCCCCCTAAGAAATATTTACAACATTATTGATTGTATTCCTCAGACTGTCTTTTAGAAAGTCATATTTTAAATCTCTTCTTTCTTTATCATCATGCTGAGATGTTGGATTATGGAAATTTTGCCAATCCTATTGTCATATATTGTTAACTCATACGTACTTGTTTTTATAGGTACAGGAGTTTCCCTGTGGTGGAGGCAAGTTGGTCAATGCTGCATAATGAAAGGCCCTACTTATGTAATTTCTTAGGAACTGTTTATGAAAATTCATCCAGACAAGCACTAATGAACATTTTGAAACAAGACGGGATTGATAAGCTCTGTTGGGTTTCAGTAAGAGAACAGTAAGTTCTGTGTTTATTTGATTCATCCATTTTGTTCTCCAATCTGAGAGTTACTTTATGTGGCAGCACAGGTTTCCAAAGAGACATTGTTAACTACATTGATACCAGTCTTTCCCCAAAACGTAGATTGGTAATTAAAGCTGTGAACAGCTTGGGTTGTATACATTTAAAATGGGGAGAATCTCCTCTCCCTGTAGTCCATCTTGAAGAATAACGGCAACTGTCATATGCAAATGTCAATTTTTTGGGTTTCCTTACTAATATTTGTTCATCAGACTTAATACACATGAGACTGTGAATATGTCAACAGCATCTTAGGTTCATCCCTGAGGTGTTCTGCAGACCAGTTCAGTGTTGCAAGATTGGCATGGAGTACTCTTTACACCTTTAGGAACCTGTGTTACCCTGAGGGTAGGGGCCACATATTATTCTTTTTTGGATACCCAAATCTAACATAGGACCTTGTATAAACTAGGCACGGATAAATGGGTAATGGATGGGTGAGTAGGTGGGTGGGTGGGAGGGTAGATGGATGGATTTAATAGAGTTGACTTTTTTCATTTTTTTACATGGTAATCATGAAACAGGTGTTCGTGGAGTGAAGGAAGAAATTTTGGAATCATTCTTTTTGTTAAATAAATGGAATTTCATGTATATGAAGCTGAGTCAGAGACCTAATTAATGCCTAGAAAATGTCCTTCCAGATCTAGAAATATATTAATTATAACAGATAACTCTCTTCTAGAACACATAACTCCCAACTCTATTATTTGTGTAACCACATTAAATCCATTCAGTCAACAAATATTTATCAAACAACTGCTATATGCCAAAAGCTATTTTTGCCATGAGCAGTGAACAAAGCAGTCATAAATCCATGCCCTCTTAGAACTTAAATGCTTGTTGGAGGAGACAAAGCAGTAAAATATATTGTGTGTCAGAAGATGATAAATGCATGTGAAAAAAATGAGCCGAGGAGCGATGTAGAAAGGACTGAGGATCAGGAGTGGGACACTTGCTGTTTTAGAATGGCCAAGAAAAGCACTAGTAAGAAGGAGACATTTAAGCACAGGCCTGAAGAAGGTGCAGCGGTGAGCCTTGTGTCTATTTGGGAGAAGAGTGGTCCAGGCTGAAGGAAGAGCAAAGAGCCTAAGGCAAGGGCCGGCCGGGTGGCTCAGCTGGCTGAGAGCTCGCTCAAGAGTGCGAGCTCTGAGCAACAGGGTCGCCGGTTCAATTCCCAGCCCGAGCTGAGCTGCTGCTGAGCTGCCAACAGGTGGCAGGATGGCTCAGCTAAAACAAACAAACAAACAAACAAAAAAACCTAAGGCAGAAGCGCACTTACCATGGTTGAGGAACAACAAGGGACAGTGTGCCTGGAATGAGATGGGTGAGGGCAGTGTAAAATGACACAGTTTATTGTGGGAATAGAATTATTCTTGTAATTCCTGTCAAACAGTTGGGCCAGGAGGTCGAGTAAGTGTCCTCCTTGCTTCTCACTGCTGCTTCCAGACCCTTCTCCCTTTCCCTCCCTAAAACTCCCAGTTTTGAATCTTATGCCGGCAGACAAAACCATCCGTTACTCTTCCTCTTTGGAGTCATATTCTGACCCTTAGATGCCTCTCCTTGATTCTTTGAAGGGTTTAGTTCCTGGCACACACTCACTCTCTCTGACATTACTCCAGTCTCATTTTTGGTGATTCCCAAATCTAGGTAGATGGTCCTTCCATTATCTTGGTCTTGCAGTTCCTTTATCTCCTCTCCTCCATGTAACCTTAGCTATTCACTGTCATGGTCGTTTCCTAGACCTTATCAATACACATACTGCTGCTTCTCCTTGATTTCAAGCTCCAACATCTCTCTCTGTAACCAGCGTATCCTGTCATTCCAGCTCATTCCCTGGAATCATCTCCTGCAATTTAACTGGGGCTTACAATTCATTGTTCCTACCACCTTTCCATTGTCCTTTGCTCCCCTCAGAGCTTTACTTTCTTCTTTTTTTTTTTAGATTTTTTTTTTAATTGGGGAATTGGGGGAGGGGAACAGCACTGGGGAATTGGGGGAAGGGGAACAGACAAGTTGCTGTCGTTTTGTTCTTCANACACACACACACACACACACACACACACACACTCTCTCTCTCTCTCTCTCTCTCTCTCTCTCTCTCTCTCTCTCTCTCTCTCTAAATCTTACAGAATTTTTTTAACCCCTAATTTTATTTACCTAGATCTGTGCTTCCCAGACTGTGTACTGAGGTCTCCTGGGGCACTACATACTATTTTCAATATTTGCGGGAAACACAGACTTCACATCTATCAGACACCATAAAAACTGCTAACTCAAGGTAGTTCATAGTTTCAACATTAGATCACCCTACATTCATTTCAGTGATGACATACCTTTGTGAAGCTGGGTTTTCCATGGTTGCTTTGAAAAAATACAGGTGGAAGAGGCAATGACAGTGGCAGTGTTCACTCCGATTCCAAGATTTGAGAAGTTGTGTAGCACTCAACAGGTGCACACACTCCATTTTAAGTATTTGTGGTTAGTTAAGAATGAAATAGGAATGTTTTTCTTTCAGTGTAGTATATGTATTATTTTTTTAAGTGGCTTCTAAGCTGTTGGGACATAAATACTAAGTTGTTGGGACCTAACAACTTAAAAAACTGAACCATTACTCATTTATTTTGGCTTGGGAGACACTGTGAAAGAATTACTGAAACACTGAAGGTGCTAGGAACCAAAATGTTGGCGAACCTCTGCCGTACACCTTAGCTCCATAGTATTGACCCTGCCTGTGGCTTTCACCATAACCTACACATGGCCTTGAGGTCTGGAAAGCCAATGAGTCAGTGAGGGCCAACATGCCTGTTACTAGAATGTAAGAGCACTCTATAAAATGGAGCTGTGGAGATTCCCAGATGGGTCAAATGGGCTCTGAATGAATCATACTTCCTTTTGTCAATTTGTGTGGATCAAAAAAATTAGAAGTATTTTTTTTCACATGAATGTGACATTTGAGAATATCTTACTATACTATTTTAATACATGAACTACAACGAAGTATTGCAACACTTATTATAGCTCCCAAATTAATGGCATATGAACAAAAGTTTTCCAATGTCTAGCTAAGTTAATACTGTGGGAAATTTTTCTTGTCTGTTCTGTTTTTTTTTTTTTCCTGTACAAATATAGCATATTTCTAGTTACATACCCTTGAATTACAAGCTTATCTGCCTCTCTGCCTTTGTTCACATTACTTATATTTCCTGGAATACATTTCAACCTTTACCTTCTTTTCCTGATTTCCCTTTCACTGGAACTACCTTAGCAATTTTATTCTCTATCACTTAATACAGTGTTTAATATACACTCTCATACTAATGTTTATTGAACTATAAAACACTGCACAAGTGTTTATTATCTATTGTATGCTTGCGTAAAGTGATGAATAGACATATATCATTTGAAAAATGCATTATGCCTCAAAGTCATACCCTATGAATAATACTCTAAAACACTTATATCAAAGATAGGCAATAATAGAGAAGATATATCTTTCAGGGCATAGTTAAAGAATCATGGTATTATTAGATGCTCTTATTATAAACTATCCTGATAAACATTTTTAGGCATATTCATGTCTTATCTAGTTAAAAATCAAAACGAAATATTATTAGATTATTATCAGTGTTGTCCATAGTAAAATGTTTAATATCTTTTTAAAAATAACACAAAAGTTTGTATGGTACTCTTTAAAATGGTATATGATCTATATGGGCTTAATGTCAGATAACTAAGTCTGAGTCCCATCTCTGCCATTACCTATCTAATGTCTACCAGCTTTATGCAAGTCATGTAACCTCTCTCAAGGTTTTCCTTTCTTCCTTCATAAAATTGACCTAGAGTGGGAAAGGACAACTGGAATAATTCTCATGCTGTAGGGATTATAGTTTCCTATAATTCTAAAGGAGAGTATTCATATACTACCAATAGTAAATATTTTAAATGTATCATAACTATCATCATTATTTCTAAAGCATTTTCTAGCCCCTCTGATCCTGCAGGCTTTCTTAAATTACTAAATGATCATTTAATCATTGGCCACCTCCAATGCTAGGTCCTGTCCAAGGCAAGCTCAAAACACAATTCTGATTCCTGTAGGTTATTATCATTATAAAATGATGTTATAGATTCCATGTAGTACATATATACACAAACAAAATATATATTTAGGTTTTTTGTTTTAACTAGCATCTATTAACTCTATTATTTGTTAACCATGGTGTCATGGGAACAACTTAAACTCTAAAGTTATACCTGATTCAGATCTCAATGTTGCCATCACAGGTTATACAATTTAAGCCTGATTTCTCAAATGAAAAATGGGGAATTAATATACTCTGCAGAGTTGTTGTGGAGGTTAAACGATAACCTATGCAAAATGCCTATGTATCATGTATATAAAAGGTGCTTAATAATCGTTAATTTTTATCCCCAACTATAGCAAACAAAAGAAATATTTCAGCATATTAAAAGATTCTAGGGGCCAGCCAAGTGGCTCAGTTGGTTAAGAGTTGGCTTAAGAGCGCGAGCTCTGAGCAACAGGGCCGCCGGTTCAGTTCCCGCATGGGCCATTGATGCTGCACCTGACCTGAGCTGTCACTGAGCTGCCAACAAGTGGCAGGATGGCTCAGCTAGTGTAACAACAAGATTGCCTGTTTGATGGTGGGCTACGCCCACCCACAACTAAGACTAAACTTGGCACCTTGAGCTGAGCTGCCACCCAGATTACTCAGTGAATAGAGCATGTGCTCTTAACAACAAGGCTGCCGGGTTCGATTACCGCATGGGATGGTGGCGATGCCCACCCGCAACTAAGATTGAACACCTTGAGCTTAGAGGCCACGAGCTGCCGATGGGCAGCCAGATGGCGACTGGCACCCTCCACAACGAAGATTGAAGAACAACAACTTGGCTGGT